GGAGTTGCGCTCTGTGGGAGTTTAGTTTATTTTTAAAGGAGGGAGGAAAGAAAGAAAGAAAACTGGGGTGGGAGGGGGAATAGAGAGGAATATAAGATAAAAGTACTTATTTTTATTTTTGGATTTGTTGTTGTTGTGTGCTTTGGTTTCTGATTTATGGCAACCCTAAGGTGAACCAATGCTGGGGGTTTCTTAGCAAATTTCTTCAGAGAGGGTTTTGCCATTGCCAGCCTCTGAGGCTGAGAGAGTGTGACTTGCCTAAGGTCACCCAGTGGGTTTCCATGGCCAAGCCAGGATTTGAACCCTGTTCTCCAGGGTCATAGTCCAACACTCAAGCCACTACACCACACTGGCGCTCGTGAATTCAATTTATATCCTGCCTTTTTCCCTTTAAAAAAAAAAGAGACTTGGAGCAACTTGAGATACTATTTAGACGCAAACAAATTCAGGTATTGAAACACAGTAAAATTTTAAAATAAGCTTTAAAATGATTAAAAATGCAAATTGAAAACCATGCTTAATTTGGGAAACGGATGTTCTCAAAACAGGATGATTAAGGAATGGAACAGAATCATAATCCATGCTTAATTTCTAAATAACCAAGTGCTGAATTTCAGCTGTCCGGAAACCTCGCACCCAGTACCTCTGTTGGCAAAATTTAGATAAGTCAAGCCTGGTTGCATTTATAAAGCAATAGATTAAAAAGTACATTGTCTACCTTTTCAATAGATACCCCCCCCCAATTCTTCATGGTTAGTTTCTATACTTAGGTTGCCAACTTACCAGAAAAATATGGTCTCCTCTGCGGCTGTGATTTTAGAGCCACAGAAATCAGAAGGCGACGCTTTTAACCAGATGATAATCATGTTCATTTGCTGATTCCTACCATTCTAGTAAGTTGCTCTGAAAGGCACAGAAGTGGTTAAAATTTAGGTGGCAACCTGATCTAGAAACTAGCTTTCAAAACAAGGTAGTGGATTGACCCTTTCTTCAAATTAAGTACTGCTTATTGACATTAATTATATCTTTTAAACCAGAGCTCCCTAGAAACCAGGCTATTCTTGCTGTGCTATTAGAAGATAAAATCCTGTCTTCCAGGAACTCCTAACCTCCCATATGCTCTAATTGTCCTTTGTTAATAGCATGGATAACCATCATATGTCTCCCTTATCAAGAGGTTTGATTCTGTTTGCTTAGGCTTAAACCCAGAAGATGGTTTCCTTTCTCACTTCAAGCGATAATTAACACAAAGCCTAGATGATTAAAATTAGCATCCATTTCCGCTCTTGTAAAAGGCTGCTCTGCTTGTATTGTATAAAGCTGCATCCGCACTGCAGAAAGAATCCACTTTGACACCACTTTAATTCTGGGATATGTAGTTTGTTTTGGCAGCGGATCTCTCAGACAGAGAAGACTAAATATCTCACAAAACTACAACCCCAGCATTCCATAGCAATTGAGCCATTGGCAGTTAAAGTGGTCTCAAACTGGATTATTTCTGCTGTGCAGATGCAGCCGTAGAATGGACACCAGCGATACCTTCGTTGTAATTTGGCCCCATGGTTTACTATTGATCTTCCTACACCTAAGACCAAAACTAATTGTATGTTTTTAAAGTGTAAGTCACTTTGGGTCCCAATTTTTGGAGAAAAGCGAGATACAAATTAATAAAATAAAA